AGATGTTACATTTATGTTGTATTCTATGATGTTACAAACAAAATTGCAGGTCCAGAAGCTATATGTTATTTTCTCATGTTACAGCTAAAGTAAAAAAAATTACACCTTCTAGTTTATAATAAAATCATAAACAATTTATATATATATATATATATATATATATATATATATATATATATATATATATATATAGGTTACAGAATATGTGGCTGTCATGTATGTAAGCTTATATATAAAAGCCTCCAAAATACATTGTTTTAATTTGGATATATCCAAACGAATCATGATACGATGGTTAGTATTCTTCGTACACACATTAGCCTTACTAAATTCATCGAATCTATGTTATTTTTTTAATGTGTTTATGAACCTAAAACATTGAAATCAATGACCGTTTACGAAAGCCAACTAATTTTTAAAAGTAAAATAATAGAATATGAGTAAAAAAAACATATAGATAATTCGATCAATGTTTTCACAAATTCATTGGTTATAGTTTTTCAATTAAATGACAAAATATTTTGAGTTGTAATCTTTAATAAGTATTGCTTTTTTTTATTATTTTCAATAGAAACTTCCATAGATTTTTGTTACAAAAAACTATATGATTGAACTCTTTTATTACATAATTTAATTTATTTCAGTTGTAATTTATTAAACCAAAATTTAGAGAAAATGAAATTGGATTTATTTTGCTTAAAACTACATCATTTAAAAGGTTCTATACCTAAGTTTAGGTATATAACAGTCACATATTCATTTATATATATATATATATATATATATATATATATATATATATATATATATATATATATGGAAAACAAAAAAACCCTAAAAAAATCCCAAAAATCATAAAAATGTTTTAAAAAAATACCTAGAGATCACAAAACTTTTTTTGACATTTTTTATGAAAAAATCGCAGGTTTTTAAAGAAATTCGCTGAAAAAAAATTTGATTACAAAAAAAAAAAAGTTTTGATTTTTTATTTTTTTTTCAGCGAATTTTAATTAAAAACTGCGATTTTTTATAAAAAAAAATTCAAAAAAAAGTTTTGTGATCTCTAATTATTATTTTTTTTTTTTATGATTTTTAGGGTTTTTTTTAGGGTTTTTTGTTTTCCATAGAACCTAAACCTATATATATATATATATATATATATATATATATATATATATATATATATATATATATATATATATATTATGTGACATAATATTAATTGTGTAGTATGAAATTCATCAATGTGTAACGAAAAATAAACTATCTAACAAAACGTTGAACATAAAGTACGTATAGTCATATAATATTTAAAAAAAACATAAGCAAAAGTAAGTCACAATGTAATTACGAATTCATTTTCACCCATCAATTGGACCCAAACAGTAAATGTGGAGAAGTGTACTAGCATGCCACATATGTAAAAGGCGAGAGATCATTGATCCATAATGGGTTAATGACCTAGAAAGGTAACGAACTTTGGTCTTTGTCCACATTTAGGTAACCATGTTTTTTTCGTTCACATTTAACCATGAAACTTGGTTGACCCGTTCAAAATAGGGTAATATGACCTGTAATTAGCGGTAACATTACCCTATTATGAACAGGTCAAACAAGTTTACCGGTCAAATGTGTACGAAAAAAACATGGTTACCTAAATATGGACAAAAACCAAAGTTCCTTACCTATTTTGGTAATATTGAGTTCTTTATGTTAACTGCAAGTAGTCATAAGATCCATTGATGTGAAATGAAATTGGGTTGTCCGGTCTTGTGTATGAGGAGATGGTTAAGTCTTGGGTCAACCCAGTTTAGGCCCAGCTAGTTAGGGGTTAGGTTGTATACGCTTAAGGGGTTAAGTTGTATGTGTTTTAAAGATCGAACAACACAGCTTAGCCCATGACTAGCCGGGACTAAACTGGGTTAGACCAAGCCTAACCTAATTGTTCATTGACTGTTGGAGCCTGATCCCAGGGCACACAGTCCCTAAGACGATTCTTATCTAGTATTACCAAAACGGGTAAGAAACTTTGGTTTTTGTCCGTATTTAGGTAACCATGTTTTTTTCGTACGCATTTGACCAATAAACTTGTTTAACTTGTTCATAATAGGGTAATATTATCGTAATTACCGGTCATATTACCCTATTTTGAACAGGTCAAACAAGTTCAATGGTCAAATGTGAACGAAAAAACATGGTTATCTAAATATGGACAAAGACAAAAGTTTGTTACCTTTCTAGGTCATTAACCCATCGATAATTGGCGCCATAACTTTGGCCCAAGCGATAACTTGAAAATTATACGTTTTATGAAATGATTGGCTGAAAATTGTCTTTATGGTTCTTACTAATTTTTTTATTTCTATCGGATCCGGACCATATATATATATATATATATATATATATATATATATATATATATATATATATATATATATATATATATATATATATATATATATATATATATATATATATCATTTAATGTAATAAAGTTATTATTTTATGTATATTTTTTATTATAAATAAACTTTATATAAAATGATAAAAAATTTATAAATATATATAAATTTGACACTTTAAGTAGCCGGAAATATATTGGTTTGATTAGTAAAATGATAAACATATTTTGTGCATTTTTTTTCAACAATTTTATGACAGTAGGTTGGAACAAGGTTTTGGGGACCATTGAAAACATGAAGAGTTCCTAGATTTGCACATTTTGTTTTGAATATGTCTGGCTTTAGACACCTTACAACCAAAACAACCTCAGCTTTTGTAAGACATGATTAGAAGAAAAAGAAACATTTGACCGTGTTTTGATTGTTACAACACATCAATAATTGTTTCAAACTCAAACATGTGTTAACAAACTCCATGTATTATTTTTACCTCATATCCCTCATCATAATTCAGTAATTTATCAAATTTTGTTACAAAATGTCAGTTGTATAAGAGACAAAAAGAAGTGATGAAGTCATGTGAAAAGTTAGTAGATGTTATCGACCTTTTTTTTAAGTAACATATTTACATATTTCCCAAAAGTTTAGTCAATACGTGAATTCAATCCCTGGTCGGCTCGTCCTATATTCCCAACTCCACTATTGATAATAAGTCATATTCGAAAAGGTATAAATGTTTTAGATCCATTCTTTTTCGTGTCTATGGAGGATGATTTCATGGACAATAATCAAAGCATGAGATTTAGGTTTATAATATTTATTTTATCTTGAGAGAATATAAAACAATTGGTATATTCTTAAATTACTTAACATTTAATATTTTCATACCACCTTCTATAGTATGAGAACGATTGTAATGCCCAACGGTGTGCTGAGTGAAAGCTTCCCCTATCCTGGAACACCATATCGTGGGTGAGGGAAAAAAATGAGGGGAGTCTATTCCTCACTCTCTCTTCTCGTGTGATTGATCATTTTTTTCAGCTTTTTTAATATTTATTAAATTATATAATTACTAAAAAATTACAAAAAAATATATCAAAATTTATGGTTTTTAATTCCCTACAAAACGAGTATAATATTTGTAGGAAATATATATTTAAAAAAAAAGTGAAAGATTTGTCCCATACACCCTGGGTTTTGGTGAGGGAAGAAAAATAAGGGAAAAACTGACGTGACAGGCATAACGTGAAGGACCCTTCTCACACACACCTTCGGGTCTAATTGACAATCCAACTATTGTCCTTGTATTCTTTACTACTTGATAAAATTCAGTCATTTCAAAAAAAAAAAAATAGAACAAAATAAAATAAAATACCCAAAATTTTAAATAACTTAATTAAAAAACCCCTTAAATTTTTTTTTTGAACAGCTAACACACACGCTCTAAATACGATGTAACTATGTTCTTATTTTTGTCACTGGTGTTGCATTAACTAAAGGTTCCCGTGTAACAGTTCCTAATAAATAAATTAATAAATAACCAAAGGTTTAATTGCCAATTTTTGGTTGGCTTATTTAATGTAATTAAAAATATTTATTTCCTAGAAAATCTATAAAAAAAAATTGACGTTCTATTAATCTTGGGATGTAATGTTATGTGAAATTGTTTCAAAAAGAAAAAGACTAACGAAAAGAACATATGGGTAGAGTTGTAAACGAACCGAACGAACACGAACGGAGCTTGTTCATGTTCGTTCGTTTAAGTTAGCCGAACAAATAAACGAACACGAACGGATAAACGAACGAGTTTCCTTGTTTATGTTCGTTCGTTTAACAATTTATATTGTTCATGTTCGTTCGTTTATGTTCGTGAACATGCTAAACGAACATAAACAAACGAACATAAATGAACAAAGATAAAAAAAACATAATTGAAGATATATGAACATAAATGAACATATAATACACTAATGTAATCAAATACAATTAAGCATATGTGAACATAAAATGAACTTGTATGAACGAACGTAAACGAAAAACATAAACGAACGTTCACGAACATAATTGAACGAACGAGACCATTGTTCATGTTCGTTCGTTTAACTAAACGAACGATAATTTGTGTTCATGTTCGTTCGTTTATTAAATAAACGAACTTCTCGTCGAACGGTTCACGAACAGTTCGTTGAACGTTCAGTTCGTTTACAGCCCTACATATGGGGAAGTGCTAAAGAGAATTAACAGAAAAATCAGTTTACGTTATGCTTTTTTAATTCAAATAAACTAAAATTTTTGTTTGTTTTTTTTTTCTGCAAAAAAATAGAATATGAGTTTACAAAAGAAAAAAAAATGAATAAAGTGGTACTTTTTATTAACATAAATTACATAAATATATTTGTTAAAAATATTAGAAAAAAGCTGATAGCCATTCTTTGCAATGAACGATCGTGATATCCAACTTTAATTGATTACGTTTATATAATTTAAATCAGACTTTAACTCAAATACGATTTTTTTGTTACAAAAGATTGACATAACTCATAACCAAAAACTTATAAGTGGTGGAATCAAACACAAAACTTGTTTCCATGTGGAAATATTTAAGTCCATTAAGATTTTCTAAAAGCATAACTTGTATACCTATTTAGTATTTATGCCTTAAGTTCTTGTTGTCAGAGCAAAGTATACAAATAGTAGAAAATAGAACACTTCTAGAGAGAGAAACAGAAGCAACTTCTACTGACATTTTTGTTTCCATTTCAAGTTTTAAAAAATGGCGAATGAGTGAGTGAATTTCACAGATGGGTATTGAGAGAAGAGAGGAAGCTCGTTTCTGTTTTTGTCTTTTTTGTCTTCGTTTTGATCACATAAGAAGAAGAAGAAGACGACAACAGCGAACAGTGATTGCATCTTCATGTTTTAAAATCCCTCCAATCATTTCGGTTTTTGTTTTCATGCTCCTGATGTTTTCCCCTGTTTTTCCGGCGACCTCTGCTAAAAAACTCCGGCGAGACCACCATGTTTTCCGGCCACAGGAAGAAACCAATAAGATGAAGCTGGTTAAAGCTCATCTCATGAAGATTAACAAACCTTTTGTCAAGTCAATTCAGGTACTGCTTTTTTGAATGAAATTAAAAAAGAAAAAGAAAATATAACTTTTTCTTTCATTAATACATTCATATATTACATATATATCAAATACCCATTGGATAAATTCGAATAAATTTCAATTTTTTTTTCTTTTGGAACAGAGCCCAGATGGTGATACGATAGATTGTGTTTTGAGACATCATCAGCCAGCTTTCGATCATCCTAAATTGAAAGGAACGAAGCCATTGGTGGGTTTATATTATCTTTTGGATTAATATCAGATACAATAAGTATAAGTATTGCTTCTCTTTTTTATTAAAGATTTGTTTTTGAATATGTTTATATAGGATCCACCTGAGAGACCAGATGGGCATGATGAAGGAGAAATAAGCTCTGAAAATCATCAGCTATGGAGTTTATCAGGTGAATCATGCCCAGAAGGAACAATTCCTATCAGAAGAACAAGTGAGCAAGACATTTTAAGAGCAAATTCTGTTAAGAAATTCGGTCGAAAAATTGCAAGACCAGTTAGAAGAGACACTTCTAGCTATGGACATGAGGTTAGTTCTCAAAAAAATAAAAATAAATAAATAAATAAAGAATAAAAAATAAAAACTCATAGTGTTATTGTCAAGCCTCGAACCTGAATCAGTTTGTTTTATCTCAAACCCCAAACATTTATCCATAATCGAAGCTATGTCCGATAAGAAGAGTCAAATTGGATTGGTAGGGCTAATTGGTGAAATGGATAATAAATATTTAGGGGAGGTCAAACTGGATCGGTAGGGTTGGGTTGGAGTATAAAGCCTTTTCTTTTCTATTTTCCTTCGGTTCATATATAATTAGTGTAATTTTTATAAGTATAAAGTATATTACTATTAGAACAAAATGTTAAATTTATAATGGAAACAATTTTAAAAAGATTGTAAGTATTTAAATTTATGTATTTTATTCAAAACATAATCCAAATTAAAATATTCCATGTGTAAGAATTTACATATCAAGAAGCATCTCCAACCCCATACTAAAACTTCACTTTTACGTTAAACTTTTAAAAACCAACATTAGGTTTACATAAAATATGTTGTTGGTATACAATATTATATTATTCATTAACAGTAAATGTAATATTAAAATTCCAGCAATACAAATTGGTCCTTTTAACTTTGACCTTATTCATTTTTAGTTTAGTTCTATTATTATATTTAATAATTTAAAATACAAAATTGATATATATTGCAATCTTAGTAATATAAATAGTAATATAATACAAACACACAAGTGGCATATATGTGTCGAGTTTGTAAAAACCCAATAAATATAGGGGTTGTTTTTGGAAAAGTATAAAGTTGGATAAAATATATTTTTTGTTGTTAGATATAATATAATGGGTTGGAAAGATTTACCCTTTGAGAATATCACTTACATTATTTTTATGAATTTTGGTGTTAATGGTTGAGAAGTGCCATTTTAAGTATATGAAGATTTTCATGGTTTTGCCATCATTTCAGAGATTTCTACTGAAGGATGGTTAATTAATTGTAATACAATGGTACTACTTTGATACTGACATGGAGGTGACAAAACTATTATTTTCTAGTTGTCATCAAATTATAGCATTAAAACAAGTAATACCCAAAGGCTAAAGTCACCTCTCTCTTCATTTATACAAGTTATTTCTATTTTATGATTATTAAAAGGTATTCTACAATATTGTCTCATTTGGCATGAACGTGATCCTTGGGTTTTATACTAAGTATCTATGTCCAATACACATACATCAAACACAGTACAAATATTAAATTCTCTTTATGAATTATGATTTAATTGTTGAAAATTGGGATTAATAAAGTTGAAAAATGGCAGCATGCAGTTGGATATGTAAGTGGGAATAAATACTTTGGAGCAAAAGCAAGCATAAATGTGTGGGCTCCAAAGGTGACCAATAGATATGAATTCAGTCTATCACAAATGTGGCTTATTTCGGGTTCCTTTGGTCATGATCTCAACACCATTGAAGCCGGTTGGCAGGTATTTTCATTTACACCCCCTTCTCTTTTACTTTCATTCATTTTCACCCCTTCGATTATCCACCATTTAATATATATGACCTTTTGGTTTAATAAAAAATCGAAGGAAATTCAGGTAGGCATTTATTCATAATGATGGTGTTTTCACTTTTTCTTTACGATTTTAGCCTTACTTTGTTTAACTTTAAAGTTTAAATGGATGGAGCAGAACTGTAAAAAGAGATTTTGAAATGATATGTGCAGTATGAGGTCCATTAAATATGTACCTGCAAAGCGTTTTTCACACTTTATGTAAAGAAAATGTAGAAAAGTCATTAAATGCATTTTTTAGTCAAATCTGTTATACATGTCATGATGCTACATATCAAATATTCTATTAAAGTCTCTCTTTTTTTTTTGTATAAATTATCATTCTAAAAGTTCTATCCTGTGTACTTAAAGACTAGAAAAGATAAACATCGAGTGTTCTTCAAGAAGTATATATATATATATATATATATATATATATATATATATATATATATATATATATATATATATATATATATATATATATTTTATGATAACAGTTTACTAAGACTTCATATTGTCAAATCTGAAGTAGTAAACCAAGAACTATTTGTACTTCATGCAGTAAAAATAGTACAAATAGATGTTTCTTAATGCCATTTAAAGCTGATTTAAGTCACTAAAGTCCTCAACTACCTTCCCATCAAATTGAATTTATTGTTTTACCAAATATCTATTAAATTTATGAAATTGAATTTATTATTTTACCAAATTTCTATTAAATTTCTTTTCAACAGGTAAGCCCAGAGCTGTATGGGGACAACCGCCCTCGATTCTTTACTTATTGGACTGTAAGTTGTACAATTATGTGTATTTTTAAATAAATTATTATCTTTAAAATAATATATAATATTAACTTAAAATTACAGAACGATGCATATCAAACAACGGGATGTTACAACTTGCTATGTTCAGGATTCGTACAAACAAATAGTAGGGTTGCGATTGGAGCTGCTATATCTCCATTGTCTGTATACAATGGTGGACAATTTGATATCAGTTTGATGATTTGGAAGGTAAATTCTTTAAACCGTTGTACACTATAAAAATGAGTTTTAAAACAAGTTTATATAATCAGAATATATAAAAATACATAATAGTCATTTGGGTTTTCAGGGGTAAAAGTGTCATAATGCATGTCCAGTTTTCTTGCATAAAATTTTGAATCAAGAACAAAGCTGTTTATTAGCTTATACAGTATCACAAGAAAGATTAAGAAAAAAAAAATATTCGGATTACCTTATATGGTGTCAAATTATAATAACTTGATAAGTTGTTTTGAAGGATCTCTTTGACATACATAAGTTTGCTTATTTTTTGAGTTTATTATAATTTAATGTTATTTGATACCATTAAAATAGTTTGTAGACTAGTTTTTTAATAAACTATTTTGAAATGGCTTATCGATGTGCTGAATTACTAAAAACTAACTTTTCAGCTTAGCTCGCCGAACACATGATAAGCCGACTTACAAGCTAAAAACTAATTTTTCAGCTTAGCTCACCAAACACAGCCTTAGTGTTTGGAAAACCACTCTCAAAAAATAAGAGTGGATAAATTATTATGCATGTCATTGTTATTTTTTATTGTCTTATCGAAATCAGAAAAAAAATATATGTAAAAATGTATTGCTGAATCTCACATTTTCTTTGGTTTAACAGTGATATAAATTACATGAATTTTCCCCAAAATCAATCAAATCACCTAACATAAATTATCAATAACAACTAGAATTACCTATATGTCCTCTCTTCTAAATTGTTGGTCTTATTGTCTTTTTAGTCAAATTGACTTATTTACATTACTTAATTAATTAATTTGATCAAAATTTGAAGGGAAAAGAACAAAAAATATCAACTTATTCAAGGTATTATACAGGATCCAAAGCATGGCAATTGGTGGTTGGAATTCGGATCCGGTACCTTGGTCGGGTATTGGCCCGCTTCTTTATTCAGTCACCTCCGTGATCACGCAAGCATGATTCAATTTGGGGGAGAAATTGTAAATAGTCGGTCTTGGGGTTCTCACACATCGACCCAAATGGGAAGCGGGCATTTTTCGGGTCAAGGATTCGGTAAAGCATCTTATATCAGGAATATGCAAGTGGTTGACTGGGGCAACAGTTTAATTCCTTTGTCCAACTTTAAAATATTAGCTGATCATCCGAACTGTTACGATATTAAAGGTGGGACAAACAGGGTGTGGGGTAACTATATCTACTACGGTGGACCCGGTAAGAATCCTAGGTGTCCGTGAAATAGACATGACATTCTAGTATCGAGTATAAGTATACCAAAGATTGAAAAAGTTTTGAGATTTTTTTTTCGCTTTAGTTTTCCTTATGAGGTTTCAAGATTTTTCCATGATGTGTGGGTATTTTGTTTTTCTAACACATAGGATTGTAATCAGAACATTATGTAAAGTTATAGTTTTGAGTTCTAAAATTTGATATAATCTTGGGTTGAGTGCATTCTGGATTTTATTTTTCACGTGTATGAAATTTATGTCGAAATATTTGGATAGTTTAGTGCCAAGTTTTAAGTTATTCAAGTTTCTAATCCTTCTTGTAAAAACATGACGAGGTTATGCGTAATGTTCTTATAGCTCGGGGATGCATATTGTATCACCGAAGTTAAGTCAATATGATGCTCAATAATCAAAGAGAAAATGAGATTGAACATTATGATAGAATATGAAAGAATATGTTTATTTATCAAATGAGAATGATATAGAATATTCCCTATATAATGTGATTCCATCATGTTGTTTTATTACATTAGAACTGATTCTTTAACGCTATGTGTTATACTCATCTTTCATCATTCTATATTACGTCAATGCTACGGTCTCTTCCTTAATTTTTCACTCTATCTTTCATCTTTGAAGAACAATTTACAAGTTACGATTTACAATGTATAAGAGAAAAAAAAATGGCAGCCAAAGAATAGGGTTAAGAAAGGAGAGAGGGCGGGATCGTCGTCTCACCATGCAGTGGGGCCGCTAATGGCGGCGTGGTGTTCATTGTGGCTCACAACGCCACATCATCAACATGTTGTCTGATTATAACATATATATATATATATATATATATATATATATATATATATATATATATATATATATATTACTTTTATTTATCGAAGCTTTAATGTATGATATACATATAGTATTATTTATGTTTGAGTTATTAAGCGTCGTTGAGGTTTATTTTTATAACATCACATTATTATCTTTAGGGCTAGGTTATTATGTGGATAATATATATTGTGTGGATGTAGGGTTGATTGTAGACCAATCATTTTACTTATTTTAAGAAAGTGATTAATAATTATTATTAAATTAAACATAATAGAAAAATATCATCTAATTTAATTCTAAGGGCATTTGAGTCGATTAAGATAAATTTAAAAAGGGAAAATTTCATATTTTAAGGGATAATTAATTCTCTTGATTTAAAAAATATGATTTTTTTTTAAATTAATTCAATTTCAATTTTAACATAATTTGTAAATATAACCGATTTTATTCTGGCATAATGTTATTTTGTTAGATTGATGTTCTATGAAAATATTCTATCAGAATGTTATTCCGTTAGAATTTTATTGAAGAATATCAAAATTATTAAACCCCAATTGAATAATAACAACATCTTTATATATTTATAAACATCCGAACTTAAATACAAATTCATACATATTCTTACAAAATAATAGTCTTATATATTTTAATATAATTAATACATATTTTAATAGAATGTCATCAAAAATTAATAAAATTCTTAAAGAATAGCATTGTTAAATATACAATACTTGAACAAATACGCTTAATGTTCTTCAGTGATCTAAATAATCAACTTGATTTCAATTATTCTTACGAAAATGTGATGTATTATCGTAAGAATGCAATTCTTGGTAGAATATACTTGTTTTTGAACTCGATTCCAAATATTTCTCTTGTATGTATTTGTATGTTCTGTAAATATTCCGCCATGTAATTCTGTAAATATTCTGCAAGAATGAATATTTAAATATTCTACCACAATGGTTTTGAATAGTCTTAAAAGAATTTGTATTATCAAGAATATACACAATGAACAAAACATATAAAATATGAATACTTGAAAAGACAAAGTTAACACAAAACGCTCATTTGATTCCAACCATATAAAAAGTTGCATCACCTTATCTTTTTCAGAATCCTAAATAAATGATCCAATTTGCTTGTAATTAGAAGATTAGAACTAAAAAATACATTTCAAAATGTAGTGTATTCTAACAGAATTCACTATTCAAAATGTAATGTATTCTTACAGAATACACTATATTGTGTATTCGATTTTCCTAAAAAATTAGTATTCTATCATAATACATTAAGAAATAAGAACATTGAATAACATAATCATATAATGAATAAAAATGAATAACATAATCATATAAGAAAAATAAAATAAATTCTAATGTGAATAAACAAATTCCTAACAAGTTCTATCGTGAATAACAATATTTATAAAACAAATTATAATATGAATGACGATCCAATTTGATTAACATCAATTTATAAATGTACGTAAAAGTTGGTGATTTAGGTTAGTTTCTCATAGAATACCTACCGAAACAAATAAATGATGTCTAATATGCTAACACTAAAATTCAGTCCAATGTCAAATAATATAATTTAATCTTAAAATAAACATGTGAACTCTATATAAACAATGTCGGATTTGATTTGTTGTTGGGAAAACGTTAATTTTGAACACAAAATCGTATTTTTCCCTAATTTTTAAACTTTTATTGAAATAATAATTTGATTAGTGATGAACTGTTCAATAACTTCCAAAATCAAAGAAACCGAAATGGGTATAAAAAGTTGATTACTTAATGCTATGGATCTCTTAATCAATTAACAATTAACAGTGGTATTTCAAAAATCAAACTAATAAAATTAGGTGTCAATGTAGTGAGAGAAAAAGGTGATTATCCACTTGCTACTACTCAACGTAACGTTAGACAAATTCAATAAGACATGAGTATTTATTTTCAGAAAATCATCGAATCAATGTAAAACAACAAACACATGAAATCAAAAATGACGAACAACAACCAAGGATCATCACATTAATCGGATTTGTATAGATAAATAATGAAATTTGACAATCATGAAACTCAAAATGGGATCGACACACAAACCTATTTGTGCCGACTTCCGAATATCCGAGAAAAAAATATCAAGAGAACTACAAACTAAGAACACGTGTAGAAGAACAATATTGGACCGGCAATGGCGTCGATATAGGGTTTAACGGTAATTGTGAAGAAGGCGATTGTGAGTTGTGGCCTGTAGGGTAAAGATATGAAACTGATTTCTTATTTAAAGAATAATTAAATGATTTATAAACATACCAAAATTAATTAATATTTAATATTACATTTTTACGTTTATCTAGATTTTTTGAAATGATTGGTCTACATTAATTCTTATATCCACACAATAATTGTTTATCCACATAGAACCTAGCTCATTATCTTTATTTGTGAATTTAATTTCCTTTCTTTAGAAAGACATATTGTAAGAGTTAATTTCAATTATTTTTCTTGTATATAACAAACAATACATTGAATAAGTCATAATACCAAAAATACACTTGATCATTCTCAAGATAAATTAATGCATCGTTTCAGTGATGACTTTATGGATGGAATCTAGATAAAAAGAAGAAGGGACAGTATGCAGAGAGATTAAATATGAAAGATGGCCTTATCGCTCATCGTTTACACAAATGATTTAATATTTTATACTGATGGAATATCATTGAATGACAACATAAAAGATAAATATAAATAATTATAAGCCCACATCAATTACAAAAAAAAATCAAAATCATGGACTTTGCTAAAAAAGGAAAAGTTACGATTTTCATGAAAGATATCGAGTGTTTCCATGCACTCTAGTTTATTTATATTATAAAAATATAAAAGTTTCAAAAGGAATTTACAATGTGATGAGGACTGATCAGACATTTGAATCTTGAATTGGTCCCAAGAGAAGGAGTGATGATTAGAAAGAGATTTCACAACCACAACCAGCAGTTGCTTTTCTAAAAATATAATCCCCTCTACTTAAATGCTCACCAACCTGTCATCAAAATACAAAAAAATAAATAAATAAAATTTAAACTGAAAATGACTTTGTTGCCCCCACCATACCAGCTGGCTAATTATGCAGGTTTGATGTGGCCATGGGTACGAAAGGGAATTGTAGTCCAAAATCCAGGTCATATATGACCTTAGAATCCGCATCAACATAACTACACTGTGTGTTGGGAGGGGGGATATTAATTTTGGCGATGATGACAAGGGCATTTACGTCATTTGAACGCCAAACGCACTCTTACTTCACTAGCAATATCATTTTCTTTAAAAATCTTATTGACTTTAATTGTTAATTATGATAACAGTATGGTAGTGAGAATGCAACTATATATCATTGATAAATAAATAGATGGCACAAAGTATAATCAATAACAAAATTTATGAATTCCTGAATCATACAAATTTCTATAATAGAATTGAAGTTCATGTTCAAGCTTCCAGTAAGTAGTTGGATCCACCAAGCTTTTGTCTTGCAATTCCTTTAGCAAATTTACAGCATCTCCACACCTCTGCTGATTGGAAAACTAATGAAGCATAGTGAAATAGGCAATGCAGCCAACCTTTGATTTCCAATCATCTCCCTCAAGTAACTCAGAGCTTCATCTACTTCACCCTCAAGTGTTAAAGAATTCACAAGCGGGTTATACGATTTACTACTTGGAACAAAACCTTTGGCCTTCACCTCATCACAAATCTTTCTAGGATTACATTACATGTTCTTCCTTGAGAGCACAAACCATGGATCAAGTAATCAAGAATTCTGAAGACAATCATACACAGGTAGACTGTGCTACCCCTCAAAAAATCCTGAGTACTGTAATTTTTATAATAATAATAATAAAAAAGATTAGTTTAAGGTTCTAATACTTAGCCTAACGTTTAAACTTCAAAAGGCTAAAAGCCCAATTAACGTCCAAATGTGGATTTTGTGGGCTCACTCAAATGCAACGTCGGAAAGAGCAGGAGGACAGATTTCATCAAGAATTGAAAAAAGCAAAATTGTTAGAAGCTTGGAACAGAACTCGCTGCTACCGCGGGACCTGGACGGCTGGAATAGAGAAATAAAAACATCAACGGTGAATCGCATGAACTTTTGCGGTGCTGACTACAGTGGAAGAACAAAAGGTAGAAGGACGAAATCGTTGGAAGGTTAGAAATTGCAGCCTTCAAAATTGAAATCATGAAACAAGTAAGTTTCCTATATGGCTGTTAGGAACCCTAATTTTAATAATCACAAATTATCAAGCATGCCACTTTGAATTTTTGAGTTGTGATTTTACCTTCTTGATTAGAAGAGCGACCTTGAACTTTTGAGCTACGATTTTAATTTGGAAAAGTGATTTAGATTTTAATTTAATCTTGTCGATTCAAACCTGAAGAGCTTCATAACTTAATTACTCTACAAGCTTATAATTAAAATCTAAATCACTGCTCAAAATTAAAATCGCAACTCAAAAGTTCAAAGTCGCACCTCTAATCAAGAAGGTAAGACCACAGCTCAAAAGTTCAAGTTACATGCATGGTAATTTATGATTATTAAAATTAGAGTACATCAGAAGTATATAGGAAACTTATTTGTTTCATGATTTCGATTTTAGAGTTTGTGATTTCTAAACTCCACACGATTTCTTCCTTCTACCTCTATTTCTTCCGCTATAGACAAAACCGCAACAACAGGCTATTCACGATTGATGTTTTTCTTCCTCTATTCCAGTCGTCCACGTCCAGTGATAACAACGAAGTTGTGTTTCAAGCTTCTAGCGATTTTGTTTTTTCGTTTCTTTATGAAACCAATCCTC